ACGACTGAAGAAGGTGCGCCTCCCCAAACCCATCCTTAACACCTTCTACAGGGGTACCATACAGAGCACCCTAACCCGCTGCATCAAAGTCTGGTATGGAAATTGCGACGCGTCCAACCGCAGAGCCCTCCAGAGGATTGTATGGACCGCTGAGTGTGTTATTGGCAGCTCTCTACCCAGTCTACAGGACATTTGCACCTCACTCTGGATTGGGATAGCCAGGGGAAGGCAGGGGAAATTATCTCCATGAAAAGAGACAGATTCGGCCATCGCACAGTGGAACAAATTCTTAAATAAAATTTAAAAGGGGTTTCCTTAAATGCATCATGTTTTTAATTTGCAAGTTTATAAGCATTTTCCCTTTGCAGTTCACAATCAGTTCTACCCCCAGGTCAAAAACATGTATAAAAAAATTGGCCTAATATAATATTATATATAAACATACCTGTTCAGCTGTCGAGTGATTAATTGCATTAGTGCATGGAGGCAGGACCTCACAGCAGAAGCATACTCCATAATCTGTTGTACATTATTACATGTATATTATATGTGTTTTTCAATTACTGTATTTACCGACATCAAGAAGTCACAAGTAAAGAAAGACCACACCGTGACACATGTTTAAACAAGGAAAGTTTATGTATCAAAATTGTTTATTAAACAAATAAACAACATTGTTTTCACCCCAAAAAATACATGTTCAAAGCAAGACAACGGTGGCCCAATATCAGACAGAAGTGTGAACTCTACGCTGTAGAGTGGGCAGTCATAATGAAGCAGTTCGTTTCATTTTGGAGCTTCAAGCTGCTCTTCATATTTTTGGCCACCAGATGTGACCAGAGAGGACTGTGTTGAAAAGCTTCGAGTAATGAACCCTTTTTCAATACAAGCTTCAATGCTTCAGAAAGCTTCATTTGGCCATCACTACATTTTCCCCCCAAGCAGTCCGGCTCCTGAACACCATGCTGCTCTCCTCCACACTGGACTCTCTTCTTGGACTACAAAACACTCCCCCTCACTCCCGATACTTGCACTATTCTGTATTGCACTGTTCGTATCTGTCTGTGTATTGTATTTATTTATTCTAATTCTCATTGTTTTCTATTCTTACTCTCTCTGTATTCAAG